GTGTGTGTGTGTGTGTGTGTGTGTGTGTATATATATATAGAAGAGAGTGCTTTGGGGAAGGCACACTTGGTATAGGTATATATATATCCACATATCGATAAAGAAGATGTGGTGTGTGTATGTATATATATGTGTATATATATGTATGTATGTATACATGCATATATGTGTACATATATGTGTATATACATACATGCATATATATGTATATATGTGTGTATATACATACATGCATATATATACATACACCACATCTTCTTTATCCATTCATCCATTGATAGACATTTGGGCTCTTTCCATACTTTGGCTATTGTTGATAGGGCTAAATATTAGGGTGCATGTGTACTTTTGAAACAGCACACCTGTATTCCTTGGATGAATACCTAGTACTGCAATTGCTGGGGTGTAGGGCAGTTCTATTTTTGATTTCTTGAGGAACCTCCATACCGTTTTCCAGAGGGGCTGCACCAGTTTGCATTCCCACCAGCCGTGCAAAAGAGATCCTCTTTCTCTGCATCCTCGCCAACATCTGTTGTTGCCTGAGTTGTTAATGTTAGTCATTCTGACGGGTGTGAGGTGGCATCTCATTGTGGTTTTGATTTGTATTTCCCTGATGATGAGTGATGTTGAGGATTTTTTCATGTGTCATTGGCCATCTGGATGTCTTCTTTGGAGAAGTATCTGTTCATGTCTTTAGACCATCTCTTCACTGGATTATTTGTTTTTTTGGGTGTTGAGTTTGATATGTTCTTTATAGATTTTGGATACCAACCCTTTATCTGATATGTCATTTGCAAGTATCTTCTCCCATTCCATCAGTTGCCTTTTAGTTTTGTTGACTGTTTCCTTCACTGTGCAGAAGCTGTTTGTTGACTGTTTCCTTCACTGTGCAGAAGCTTTTGATTTTGATGAGGTCCCAATAGTTCATTTTTGCTTTTGTTTTCCTTGCCTCTGGAGACACGTTGAGTAATAAGTTGCTGTTGCCAAGGTCAAAGAGGCTTTTGCCTGGTTTCTCCACGAGGATTTTGATGGCTTCCTGCCTTACATTTAGGTCTTTCATCCACTTTGAGTTTATCTTTGTGCATGGTGTAAGAAAGTGGTCCAGGTTCATTTTTCTGCATGTTGCTGTCCAGTTTTCCCAGCACCACTTGCTGAAGAGACTCACATTATCTTTTCATTTTTGATGTCTAGTGCTAGTAATATGTATAACATCTACAGTGTTTTGTATCATATATAACAATATTGATGCAGGTACTGACAGACAAATGACTCATCTTGTGACAGACATTGTAGACTTATGTTATTGAAAAATATGTACAGTACTGTAAATGTATTTTCTCCTATTCTCTTAGTAAGATTTTCTTTTCTCTAACTTACTTTATTGTAAGGATACAATATATTACATACAATATATGTGTTAATCAACTGTTTGTGTTTTCTGTAAGGCTTCTGGTCGACAGTAGACTATTAGCAGTTTTGGGAGAGTCAAAAGTTATATACAGATTGGGATGCATGGGTGGCTCAGTTGGTTAAGTGTCTGACTCTCGATTTCAGCTCAGGTCATAATCTCACTGTCATGCGATTGAGCCGCACATTGGGCTCTGCACTGACAGTGAGGAGCCTACTTGAGATTCTCTCTCCCCCTCTCTCTGCTCCTCCCCCATGCATTCTCCTTTACCCTCAATAAATAAATAAACTTTAAAAAAAGTTATACACAGATTTTTAACTATGCAGAGGGTTAGTGCTCTTAACCCCCGTGCTGTTCAAGGGTCAACTGTATTTTTTTTTTCAAAAATCCATAACATTAAGACTCACTTTTATATAGCTCTTGTGTACTTGGGATGGAAATATGAAACTCTTAAGAATCAGTCTTCCTGGAAATATTTATGACTGGACCAGTATTGCAAGATACTGGTCTTAATATTTACAAAGGGGACCTAAAAGTTCTTGTTTTTTTTTTCTTTTATTGTAGCAAATATAAGAGAAATTTGAGCCAGCACTTCATTACCTCTGTGTTTCCTGGTATGAAGTCTGCAATTTTATTTTTCCAATAAGAATGGGAAAGCACAGCCCATGACCTTTTGCTGACTGCAGTGCCTTGCTCTGTAGAGCTGTTTCTCATGGAACTGCCAATTTACATGAAATGATCTCTTGGCAACAATCACTCATCCAGAACATGACATTCTTTTTTTTTTGAATTTTTATTTTAGTTTTTTAGTCTACTTATTTTGAGAGAAAACAGAGAGAGCAAGCAGAGGAAGGGGCAGAGAGACAGGGGAGAGAGGATCCCATGTGGGCACTATGCTGTCCCCGCAGAGCCCGATGCAGGGCTTGAACCTATAAACCCTTAGATCATGACCTGAGCTGAAACCAAGAGGTCGATACTTCACTGAGCCACCCAGACACCCCACAACACACTCTTTCTGATGCACTCTTTCTAAGTGCAACAAAGTTTTCATCTTTGAAAGGAATCAGTTTGCCTTTCCAGTTATAAATACCAAACAAAGAGTTCTCAGTTTTAGAGACACATACTGAAATATTTGTGGGTAAAATGATATTTTATAGTTTCTTCAAAATAATAATGGAGGAAAGGGAGAAATAATGCCATGAACTAATAATTATTGACAGTGGAAGACAGGAACTAGGAAATTTATGGTAATATTCTACTTTTATGCACAACTGAAATTGATCATAATCAAGGGATAACTGTCCCCCCCACAGCACATATAAATACAACAAAGCATACTATTTCATGCAGGTATAGTGTCATCACAAAGTATTGCAAAAACAACTTTAATTGTTTATATTTATTTTTAAGGTCCTTATATAGCACTGTTTTAAGGTCATAAATCTTAGTTAAAATAAGTAAATTAACTTGAGAATAAAACCTACTTAGTTCTTCCTCACATTTATACATCTCATAAGAAATAAGTTTCTAGTATTTGTACCATTTCTTATAGTATATTCTAGAACTTTCTCTGGTAGCTTTTAAAAATATTTATATACCACCATTGTTGGATAACTTAACCTTGAGAAAATATTTTTCCACTCCTGAAAAAACAGCAATGCATAAATCTTATCTTGTATGCAAAGACTACCTTAGAGATTTGAAGAAAACAGAAGAGTGACTACTTTTATTTTTATGTATAAGAAACATATGGTTATGCATTTGGGGGAATCACTGATGGACAATATGAAAAATTATTTAAATTTAACTTCCAAAAGTAACTTTATTCTAACAATTCCTGTTGGCAATTAAGACTTCAAAAGCTGATAATAGGCAATTATTTGACGTCCCACTTAAAAATGTAACTTTATAAGTTATTACCTTAAAAAACAAATGTACTGTGTTGCTCATAACTACTTAAACCATTTCCCAGTTTTAGAAAGCAACAATTTTATTTGTCACCATTGACTAAGAAAGTTAGCACTGAATTTGGAAACAATGAAATATGATTTGAAACTTGTCTCCTAACACAGAAGAGTCTAGAAAAATATATTTTGTTTCTAAACTGTAAACATAATTAAAAGATCCAATTGATAAAATGTGAACCATGACTTCAGACCCTAAGCAGCTTTTCTCCCATGTAAAGATCAATTCTCTCCTCAGAGACAATATAGCCCAGAGTGCTCAATCATTACCACCCCCATTTTGTCCCCCTTTTCCTCTCCCCCAACAGATGTGGTCCTGTGACATTTTCCTGCACAATCCCAGACCCAAATTTAAATTCAACAATAGCCAAATCATGGAAAGAGCCTAAATGTCCATCAACTGACTAATGGATCAAGAAGATGTGGTTTATCTATACAATGGAATACTACATGGCAATGAGAAAAAATGAAATCTGGCCATTTGTAGCAACATAGTTGGAACTCGAGGGTGTTATGCTGAGCAAAGTAAGTCAGGCAGAGAAGGAAAGATACCATATGTTTTCACTTATAAGTGGAACAGGAGAAACTTAACAGAGGACCATGGGGGAGGAAAAAGGGAAAAAAAATAGTTGGGGAGAGGGAGGCAGGCAAACCATGAGAGGCTCTTGAATACTGAGAACAAATTGAGGGCTGAAAGGGGTGAGGGAGAGGGGAAGGGGGGTGATGGGCATGGAGGAGGGCACTTGTTGGGATGAACACTAGGTGTTATATGGAAAAAAACTTGACAATAAACTATGAAAGAAAAAAAATAAATTCTGTGATACAATTTGATGGTGATTATTGAAGAGAGTGGGGGCAGTTAATACCGGGGGTTTGGTATATGATCCAATAATGTGACTCATTTCCAGTATGTAGGCCCACAGACTTATAGCTACTTCCATACATGTCCTCAGTTATCTCATTCTCTATATACTACACATAACCTTTTATCACATTTGCATAAAGGTATGTATTATTAATCACTTTCATCAGGACACAGCTACATAACATATGAAATATGACACACTATCCAGCCAGTATTCCAGATGATATTAATGGCACCAAATTGCTGTTGTACCCTATTTTGTACTTTTCTCTCTTTACTGACTTTAAAAGCTTGATCATGTCCAAAACCTCCCTTACTTGTCTTAGTAATCTTCTACCCATGAGTTCATCTAATAGTTTATTCAGGTCATGCATATTTTGAAGCTACACACTCTCTTGCGAAAATATGATCTTCACATTTCCTGTCTACCATGTAAAGTATGCATTGCTGTCTTTAATTTGAACAAAACTATCTTTTCCAAGCTCCAAAGGGTGACTCTTCACTCCATAATTTGAAAAACAAACAAACCTAGTTAATTTTCTCCATATACATTCCGATTTTATAAGCTTCAATCCTGCACTCATGTTAGAGTCTATCTTTGAAGTGTTCTTACTTAGAAAACCGACTCAGTCAAGTTCTCTAGCCCTTCAATTATACAAACTGCTGTCACTGAAGATGTTTCCAGCACTGCTAATGTCCTTCTTGAAGTCTGTGATCAAAACTGAACAAGGAAATATACATGGAACAAAAAAATCAGTGTGCAACAGACTCACCCGGCATGTAGCTGCGGTTCCAGGTGGGTGCTTTTCCTGTCTGCCACAGAAACATCCCCACATTCTGTAACCACCTTGACCTGCCAAGGGTGATGCAGCCATCTGGGGACATGGGAGGAGAAAAATAAATCAGCGCAGATTTCTCTTGGGTGTCATGACATGTGGAAGCTTACATTCTGAGAGAGATGCTGCCTTACCCAGACCAACACCAAACCCAGAGCATATGATTTCACTCATTAGTCAGCTGGTTTGTTCATTTGTTAAATAACTCCTTTAAAAAAATCTAATATTTGGGGTGCCTGGGTGGCTCAGTTGGTTAAGCGTCCGACTTCAGCTTAGGTCATGATCTCATGGATCGTGGGTTTAAGCCCCGCGTCGGGCTCTGTGCTGCCTGCCAGTTCAGAGCCTGAAGCCTGTTTCGGATTCTGTGTCTCCCTCTCTATCTGACCCTCCCCTGCTCACGCTGTCTGTCTGTCTGTCTGTCTCTCTCCCTCTCTCTCTCTCTCAGAAATAAATAAAACATTTTTTAAAAAACTAATATTTATTGAGCTGCTACTGTGTGTCATGCCCTGCTCTGGGTGTTGTTGAAACAATGGTGACCTTGCCTTCATGGCATTTATGGTAGAGGTGGTTATATGTATTTCTCTTCCTGAAAGAGAACTTCATTGGCTAGCACTCATGTATATTAGAGAGCTGTATGTCAGAGGGGTGTTAAAAATGTGTAGCCAAATAATGAAGAAGAGGAAGAGAGGGAGCAAGGTTTACTTAGCATTAGTAGTAGAGATAACCAAGCAATGCTAAACTTCACATCCAAATAAATTAGTTTTAGGTGTAAGAATACTCATGAGGACAAATTAGTCACTTTTCTTTAAGTCCATACTCCTAATTTTACTGTGTTTAGGGACTCTTTCTTAAAATTTGTTTTAACATTTATTTATTTTTGAGAGACAGAGGGAGACAAAGAATGAGCAGGGGAGGGGCAGAGGGAGAGGGAGACACAGAATCCGAAGCAAGTTCCAGGTTCTGAGCTGTCAGCACAGAGCCCTACATGAAGTGCAGGGCTCGAACCCATGAACTGTGAGATCGTGACCTGAGCTGAAGTCAGACGCTTAAATGCCTGAGCCACCCAGGTGCCCCTAGGGACTCCTTCTTATACTAAAACAAGATTCATATCTACTACCCTTGCCCACACACACAGAATAAAGAGTAATGGTTGTTATATCTATCTAAGAAGGCCCATAATAAGGAAAATTTCCTAGTAATGAATAATGTTTTGTCTTAGGGTTTACTCAAGCACATCCTTGAAACAAAGATTTCATTCCAAGTAGTTTGTTTTGGCAACTGGGGCTCAATCCCAATGAGGGGGTCTCAGAGAGACTATGAACTATGCACCTAAGAGCTATCCCTTCCGTGACAAAGAACCTGGAGTATTGATGCACCAACTATAGTTCTTCCTTGTATGAGGGTAGTTCCTATGAGCATTAAATACTCCCCAGCCCTTCTGATCTGCCATACATGAACTGAGCTCATTCCTGGGGACAGAGAAACCTCTAAGGCAAAGAGCATAGGAACTATCTTCAGATGGCCTCAGGGTATGCCTGGATATATGGGCAGTTGCCAGCAACAAATTTTTAAAGAAATTTGCATTTTCTTAATTACAAGCATATTTACATATTAACGAAAATAGCAGTCCATTGTGAGCCATTATACGCCCTCAGACAAAGCTCTATAAAGGTCTACAACCCAAAGATTAGGACAACTGTCCTATACAGCTTGAGAAATAAATGTTATAGGAAAGTGGAAATCTTTTTCTTCTTAAAAAAATCATAAAGAAAAAAATCATATTGCACACATTTCTTTAGAGGCTAATCCTATTCTTTCAACCATTTATGCAGCCAATCTCTGCCTTAGAGGATGTAAAATAAGATGTGGCACCTTTATGTACGGCAGCCCCTACCACCAAGATTTTCACTATTCACCATACTCCTGTGGTGCTTCTTCCACACTCCTCCTTGGGTGAAACTGATCATTTGATAAGCAGTAAGAGGTCATTGGAGCCATTGCTAATCTAGAAGTTTCCACAAGAAATCTACCATCTCTGGCCAAATGTAACAGAAGTATCATCTGAACTCCTTCTAGAATAGAAAGCACAACTGCGGTATGGGATATTTGAACTGCATGTGCTCAATCATAAAATAACTGTCAGGAGGGTATTAAGGACCAATGACGATCTCTGCTGCTCTTTGAGCTCATTTCTGCAAGAATTGAGCTTGAGTATATTGGGAGCTAGTAAATACTGAGAGCAGGCCATAAAAATTTTTTGCCACTTCACCCCTTCTCCTCAGTCCTAGACTAAAAGCTGGCAGTGTGCACATGTGAGCCATTATTTCAAGTGCGGGTTTAGGTAATCCAAGTGGTAGGTATATCCATTAGGCAATTATTTGAGACCTATTATATGCACTGAACAGTTGAGAGGGGAAGAGGGGAGAAAATATTGTTGAGACCTCACAAAATTACATACTTGTTGAAAATAAGCATATACAGGGGTGTGTGGGTGGCTTAGTTAAGCATCTGACTCTCAATTTTGGTTCAGGTCATAATCTCACATTAGATGGGATCAAACCCTGCATCAGGCTCTGTGCTGGGTGTGGAGCCTCCTTGGTATTCTCTCTCTCCCTTTCTCTCTCTGCCCCTTCCCCTCCCTCCCTCCCTCCCTCCCTCTCTCTCTCTCTCTTTCTCTCTCTCAAACACAAAAAAAAGAAAAAAATCATTCACAAGTATTCACAAATAGCAATGGTTATTAACTGAACTGACCAAGGAACAATAGGTTGGGAAGAGGGGGCTAAATAACTTTCTAGAAAACTAGGTTTAGTTCTGCAAGGAAAGGCAATTCGAATCTCTTCTCTACCCTGACAATAATTGATCTTCCCAAATGAAGGATGGAAGACCACCCCAATATACAGAAATGACCACCTATCAAACAGAAGCACAGTACTGAAGTCAAGACTAACACAAAAGTGTGATGTTCTAACTAGCACCTGAGAGGAGAGCCCGCACAACCGAAACTGCCTCGTCCCACCTGTGACCAAAGGGTTGGCAGCCCCCTCTGAGGAAAGGTACCCTTCATTCTCAAACTACAGCCCTTTGTGAGTTTTAAGACCTTGGACTCATTTTCTAGTAGAAACTGAGCCATGAGAGACTCTTCTATGTGGCTGAATAGGAGAGACCCGGCCTTGCTGAGGTGAGGACAGTCCCAAGAAAGCTGGAGCAGGGGGCGGGTGGTGGTCCCGTGCTACTATGGAATCCCAGCAGCTTCTCCCTGCCTGTGTCTGTACCTGTCTGTTCCCACGATACTTATGCTGGGAGAGGCCTTACGAAAGTCTATGGCCCACTGCCCTGGTTATGCCCCATTTATGAAAGGTGACTGCGGTCACTAGGGGGCACAGTTGAGACTCAGATCGGGCTCCAATCCAGCTTCCATATCATCTTGGGCAAGTAATTTATACTCTAGGTTTCAGTTTCCTCATGTTGGAAAATCATAAAGAAACAGTGCCCACCTCACAGAACCATGAGGATTAGCGAGAATACACAATGTAAAACACAATCCGTATCATTTTGGCTTGTCAGGCACATTTTAATTTTTTTCTTATCAAAGTCCAGTGCAATTTGGTGGTGAAGGTGACAGGGAAATATTCTCCATATGTCATTCAAAAACCCAGGCTCCTTCCATACTATGTATATGTCACAATCTCAGATCTTTTAGTCTTCTCAATTAAGTCAAAGGATTGCACAGAGGGCTTGTTTTCAACTAGGCCTGATGATGGCACATGTCACTTTTTCCCATATTCCATTAGCCAAAACTCAGAACAAGGCTCCATTTAATTGTATGCAAAGCTATGCCATAAAGTCCAGTTATGAGGCCAAAAGAAAAAGGAACGGGGCTCTGAAAAACACATAGTCGCTGCCAATATAAATTTGTCTAATTTGGGATACTGTCAAGTATTAGAAATCTATTTAGCTACAAATGTAAAGTCTATGCTTTACTCATCGGAGTTCTATGTCTATTAATTGGTTTTAAAATCAGATTGGAAAATACAGTGGTTATTTTTGAGTAACCTAAAAATGAATGGAAAGGACTGTTCCAATTAGAGAGCCTTTTCTTTGGGAGTAAAAGTTTGAGCCTACAAAATATTGGAAACCATGCTCCCTACCATGTAGAAGAACCTAGTACATAGAGAAAATTAGGCTTCTGGGCATAGAGAAACATAGACAAAAGTTGCAATAAGAAGAGAAGATTCTGGTGGTGATTCAGTGATTCCCCAAGGCTTATAGGAGATACCTCAGTGCCTTTCCACCAACTTCTCTTTAGTGCTTAAGTTAGATTTATTTAGGACACTTGGAGCAACAGCATTCCTAAGAAAGACTAGCATGTTAACAAGAACAGATTGATAATATCAAATACTAGAAGAGATTTGGAGCAAGTACAATAGTTGTATGCTACTTGCGGAGGTGTAATTGGCACAACCACTTGAAGAATTGGTAACGTGTCCTGAGGCTATACCCTATGATATAGCAATTCCAACCCTAAGTATATACCCAACAAAAGTGTATGAATATCTTTATCAGAAGTTATACACAATGTTATTCTTAACATTCCCAAATTGGAAACAACCCAAATATCATTAATAGCATAATAGATCAATAAATGTTCATTGCTGGATGAGTGGATAAAGAAACAATGAAGTGTGAATATATACATTCACACAGCCTTAAAAAGGAGACCCTGCTATTTGCATCAATGTGGATGAATCTGAGGGACATACATTAAGTGAAATAATCCAGACATGGGAAGAAAAATAATGCATGATGTCACTTATATGTGGAATCTCAAAAAGTCAAATATGTAGAAGAGACTAGAACTGTGGTTACCAGGAGTGGGGAGGTGGGGAAAATGGGGAGATGTTGGTCCAAGGGTACAAAGTTGTAGTTATATAGGATGAATAAGTCTAGAATCTAATGCACAGCATGAGGGACTCTAGCTAATGATATTCTTTTATATAATGAAAATGTTCTGAGAGAGACTAGATATCAGGTGCGCGCGCGCGCGCACACACAC